GGTTTTCAGTCAATTAAATTTGGTTCAATAAACAATATGTGGTTATTTTTAAAATTTTCAATGAACATTCGATCAGTCCGGCCCTCGGCTTGCAGCAAAAATTTTTATCTGGCCCTCCGTCCATTTGACTTTGACACCCCTGTTTTAGACTTTTTCACGTTTACAAAGCCACATAGTAATCCTGGGGATTTGTCAAATGTAACAGCAATGGCTGACTTTCATACGACACAATGGAACATTTCGGTATTTTTAGTGGTGGCACTTTATGAGTTACAGTAACACAAACAGCTTTCAGACAGCAATTTGTGCATCTGCAGCGACAGTGCGTGACTAATGCCTTGCAAAAAGCGTTGCGCAGAGCATGTGTGAAGAAAAAAAAAAGAAAAAAAAAACATCCACTTGTCCCAGGACAAGGTCTCTTTTTTTGGGAGATGATCAGTATTGACCACTAAGCAAACGACGACGCAGCCGCACTGAGTCATGATAAATAGCGTATTTTCCACACGACAAGGCGCACCTAAAAGCATTCAATTTTCTCAAAAGCTGACAGTGCGCCCTTGAATCCAATGCGCCTAATATAAAGAGATGCCATTTGTATTTGTCCGTTGTTTCATGTCCGTGTTTGTGACCAGTTTGCATTTCGCTTTTGTTACAGCTGCAGCAGTTGTGAAGGCTCTAAATAAATAAAGCTGTATTGTATTGTATTCCCTATAGCGTAGCTCTATCTAGTGGATGCATAACGCAACCGCAGCCACTATTGCAGCTTTTATTCTATGTGGCTTGTAATGAATGCAGTGCGCACTATACACGAAAACAGTTTAAAAAAAAGGCCATGCATTGAAGGTGCGTCTTAAAATCCGAAGCACCTTATCGCGCAGAAAATACGGTACAAATTAGACAAACACTTCTAAATAACAATGGAATCGTGACATCCTTACATTTTAAGACATGAAATATTCAATCAAAGATTTTGGTTGTCCCAGACTTGAGTTTGGTGTCACACAATTTCAAATGCAGATTGAAGGGAAGAGAATCCAAAGTCCAATATAGAGATATCCATCTCGAGCAAGCAACCGCTTCACAGTTTAATTTGCTGTGTTTTTCATGCTCTACTGAAGTAGTAAATTTGGCTGCAGCCTGGCTAAGGAGCACTATCAGCGATAACGTGGCTGAAGTCTCCACGCTTCACAAAACACACTCTTTTCTCTTATTCCCTTTATTTCACTCTATCCTCTTCCTCCTCTCATTCCTCTACCAGCCTCATCCCTAAGTCCATTTTCTCTTCTGGAGCTGAACATAAGTACAATTCAAATAACCTATGCCAGACGATACCATTTGTATTTGATTTTGCATACATTTCATTTGCGGCCCCGAAATGGCGTATCTCCAATGGGTCTTCCTGCCAGCGTACCCTACCTCCCGGCATCTGTCTCTTTGAAGATACCATCCTGGTTGGGGCAAAGCTCGCAGCTTGGCATCACTCCATTCTTACAGGCGTCACAAAACCAAGGTTCTGTTGAGTTCTCTGATGCTGAGCTCATTATGGAGTCACTCTCCCCATCAACGCCATAACACCCTGAAAGTACAGAAAATCTTTTATGTGACAGCAATTCAAACGTAACGGAATCTTTTTAAAAGCGCAACACTGTACAATTAGTGTTTCTCTTTTTCATAAGCAAATGATAGCTAATTGATTTCATTTTACTAATTACTTTTGTTATCAACGTTTTAGGACGCCAACAGTGTTCAGCTGTTGACCAAATTATTTGTGTTAGGAGGAACCTTGGCATGTCCAAACATTAGAGTCCATCGCCGTGCGTCCGGATCCTTCTGGTAATTTAAACCTGCCAATCTCATGTAACCCTGCAGCAATACCAATTGTTTGAGTAAAGAAATTAAGTCTAACAGAAGCAAGAGAAACAAAAGCAAAATCCTTCGAAAATCCTTCTCCAAATTTCCTGGGGTCAGTGATCCCATTGCTATGGTGATGCGGTTGCTATGGTAGCGATTACAGATGCGAGAGTGGTCCGTCATTACAAATGAGGGCAGTCTGCCTCTGTTGAGGAGATAACGCTAACTTCTAATTCAGTCTACTATCCTTGAGGCATTTGGAGCAATGAGAAACTCTCACAAATCAAAAACTTAGTTTTCTACATGCCCACTGGGTGCTTTCCTAGAGTCCGAGTGCCCATCAAAAGCAAGAATTGCAGCATAGTAATTTATTCAGCTTGACACTTTTTTTGGTGCATGCATGGCCATTTCTGATAGAGAACATTTGCAATGTCTCAATATGGCCTGAACTCCTTTCTAAATTTTAAGGGTCTGTCACAATAATTTTTACTTCTTTCTTTTTATTTAGTTTTGCGTGTGTGTGTGTGTGTGTGTGTGTGTGTGTGTGTGTGTGTGTGTGTGTGTGTGTGTGTATGTGTGTGTGTGAGACTGACTTAAACGGTTGCAAATGGCAGGGGGATCCGTCAGGCATGTATCGCGCCTTTTGCCCAAAGACAGCTAAGCTCCACCCTACCGATGAATTAATGAATACTAGATCTATATGGATGGATGGATCACTTGAAGGTCACAACATGTCTTGGCTGTGACCTACTGCATGAGCAAGCAACCAACCAGATGGTACTGTGGGCCGGCCAGTCCTGGAGAATAGTCACAGCAGACAAAGAGGCTTGCAGCGGCCATCAGATCCAAAATTACCCTGTTTATAATTGATTGCTTGTCACCTGTCACATTACCGTATTTTTCACACTATAAGGCACTTTCGGAGTATAAGGCGCACCTTCAATGAATGGCCTATTTTAAAACTGTTTCATATATTGGGCACACTATAAGGCACATAGAAGCTACAATAGTGGCTGCAGTTGCATTATGCATCCACTAGATGGGGCTAGGCTAAATGCTATACAATACAATACAGCTTTATTCATATAGAGCCCTGGCTACAGTTGAGTTATGTATGTTATACATCCACTAGAAGGAGCTATGCTAAAGGGAATACAACACAATCCAGCTTTATTTATATAGAGCCTTCACAACCACTGCAGTTGGTGCGCCGTATAGAGCGGAAAATACGGTAATTAAAAAAGGCAAATGCAGATAATCACCAAAATGCCAAATATCGTCCCCGATAAATGGTCTGGCCAATAATCGGTCTATCACCAATATAAAGCAATGGGAAGTATATTATTGACATTGATGCATACAGTGGTGGCTTATAATAGACACAAATTATAGATTACATGAAACTGTCCATTTTTGTTCAGCATTATCAAGCCCAATCTTGTTGGCCAAATTCCCTCCACTGTGGCGGGAATAAGAATATTGCTAACATGAAGACCACTGTTGCTATTGTTGTCTTTCAAATAGCGCCGACATTTCCCCCATCAAAATTAGTGCTGGTCGACTCATGCTGCTGAGAAGGCGCAACCATCAAGCACAGATTATTCTACTTTGACGAATGTCAGAGCCAAAACGCTGAGAACAGTCCACAACGGGTCTACACGGGGGACAACAAACACCATATGACAAAAATTAAATGATGAAAAAAAACAGCAGACGGCTCCCTACTATTGAGCATTGGTCTGGAACGCCTCAAGAATTTAATAAAAATACTTCGGTAGCTCCTGGCTCAGAACCACTTTGTGAAAGTCCCAAAAGACAATCACCAGGGAGTCCGCCAACCGATGTGAAGAGCACCTTCAGCTATTTCATATTTTAACAATCAATTCATCGAAATAAAGTAGAATGAAGAGAATCTTACCTTCGTGCACAGTAACACCACAATTGTCACATTGAATGATCTCATCTGCATCTTCGCTGTTGTCTCCCAGGCAAACTGAGCAGATGAGGATTTGCTGAGCGCTCCAGGTTTGGGACCGATCTAACAAGGCATCCTGCTGAATCACATTAAAAAAAAAAAAAAAAAAAAAAAACAGGTCAACTGTGGCGCTGCTGAACCCTTCTAATCATATTTTCAACTGAAAAATCCAACATCCACTGAACATACGCTCCAAAAATGGCATGTTAAAAAGTACAAACACCTCCATAAAGCAGTCCAAAGGCACAGGTTAAACAAGATATCCTTACCTCATTTCCTTTTCCCTGGGACATGCTGTCATTTGTTAATTCTTCGTCAAACGCATTGGTACTCTTAGCCTTTTTCTTGGGTTTCTTCGCCTCCTTGTCACTCTCACTGCTACTGTTGTTTTCGTCATCATCTTCCTTATCGTCCTCATCCTCGCCGTCATCATCTGCATCCTCGTCGTCATCGTCGTCGTCGTCGTCATTATCGTCCTTGTCGTCGTCGTCATCATCGTCGTCGTCATCACCGTCATTATCATCTGCGGTGGCGCCGTCACCATCCTCTGTGCCGCCTCCTTTCTGGGTGGCAGCCTTGCTTTTCTTCTTCCCCGCTGCGGGTCTCCAGTCATTGTCGTCCTCGCTGTCGTAGTCATCCATTTCATTCAGCTCCTCCATGGTTGTAAAGTCAAGCTGTGGACGGTTCCGGCGAAAGTTCCATTTTTTGGGCTCAGTTTCATCAGTATTATCGCTTCCGGGCCCAGACGTCAAGGTCGAGGCACTACCACCCTCTGCGCTGGACTCAAGCTCCAAAACCTTCTTGCTCTTTCGTCTGCTTTTGGGTGGGCTGACAGCGGGGGTGTCTTTCGCTGAGGCATCTGAAGAGCTTTGCTGTTTTGACTTCTCTTCATCTTCAGCCAGGTTGTCCTCAGTGGTCAGATCTTTGGGCTCTTCTTCATCCGTACCGTTATCTATAGACCCTACATTGTCTGATTCACTTTCGGAACCTGCAGCACTTGGTTTCGAACCTTCCTCATCACTGCCGTTGCCGGTTCCATCCGATCCTATTAGAACACAAGACAAATGGAAAATTAGACATCCAAACTTCGAAGTTTGGATTCTGCAGTGTTTTAAAACTCGGTTGATTTAGCTGTCCGAACAATCATCCAGACCACTCTAAACATGGTCTCAGCTCACTTCTCTCAAGACTGTAGAGAAGGGGTGGCCAACCAGTCAGTGACTAAGAGCCAATTTTTTTACTGTGTTACTGCAAAGAGCCACATCATACACATGGGCACACAAACATCACCGCATCCCTTCCTTGCGCACACACACGCAGACACGGAGACCTCTGCTCAGACAGATTTATTGTAAATGTCACACACCAAATGATAATGACAGAAATTCCTCCTCCCGACCCTCGCGGTCGACTTGGGACCAGTCCACTGGCTCCTGGTCGATCGCGATCGAGGTATTGGGTACCCCTGCTTTAAAATCTGAGGTAATTTGCTGACTAGCTTAGCGCTTAGCGCCGTTGTTTGCGCATGAGCGATGATTCAGTTGTCATCTGACTGGTTGCCCTCTATGTCAATCAAGTAACGGGATCGATGATAGGCTGACATCATAAATTCTGCTGTCCTTCGCGCCGTTGTTTGAATGGCAGCGCCACTGCTGAAGCGTTTTTGACGCTTGTCATGTGAAAGCCCGGGAGCCGCATTGAACCAGCCAAAGAGCCGCATGCGGCTCGCGAGCCACGGGTTGACCACCCATGGTATAAATAAAGATGTATTGTATGGTAATGTATTCCTGTAGCGTAGCGCCATCTAGTGGATGCATAGCGCAACCACAGCCACTATTGTAGCTTCTATGCGCCTTATAATGCAATGCGCCCGATATATGAAAACAGTTATAAAATAGGCCATTCATTGAAGGTAATCCGAAGCACCTTATAGTGCAGAAAATACGATGCTAGTGTGAAATGCTTGCCGCAAAACAGATCATATGACCATAGCTCTAACCTGCCAGAAGGCTCTTTTTTTTTTTTTTTGTATTTATTACCTCCTTGTGTATTTTAATTTGCAGACAGTGGTGAAATTCCTTTAAAATTGAAATGGAAATATCAGTCCACATAATCAAATCCACCAGTATTGACATGGCAGTAATGTAATGAAACTGATGATGCTGCCTTCAGCTATTGCCAAAATCACACTGATACCTCTAAAATGAAAAGAAATACTTTTTTCTTTTATGATCTCATGAGAGGAAATTCAACTCCCACTACCGATGTGTACCTTCACATCAGGAGGAGCTGGACAAAGTGGGTAGGGAGAAGGAAGTCTGAGCTCCCCTGCTTCAGCTTCCCCTAAAATGTCAAAAAGTAAGTGCTCAAATATATGTGTGACCATACAATTGTGTGGACACGTCATTGACTAAATATGCGCTACAACACGCTCAACTTTTATTCCGAATCAGCTTCTTATTACTGGTTACGACGCGGCTCACTTCTCATTCATTGCCGCAGCTTCACTGTGCTTTAAACTGTGTGGACGCTGAGCGTCGATTGCGCGGACGCTGGGCGTCTCGAGAGTTCAGGTTAGGTTGTCCCAATGCATTGAAACGAGACGAGTCATTGGATAAATGTTGGTTTTGTCCCGCCCATCGGACACTCAGCGTCTCTGGGAATCTATGGACAGTGGGCGTTTATGGGCTGGCCAGGAAGCTCAGCTTTTCTGCATGATGATTGTATGATCTGTCTGAGGCTGAATCTCTTTTTGATTGACAGCGAAATGAGCCAATCACCGATCTTATGGTGAAGGCATCGTTTTCATTTTTTTGAAAAGGAACGGAGAGCAGAATTCACAGACACATTTTATGATGTAGGCCGAAATTGAGCTTCCCCTCCTTGACAGACCAGCATCTGCCACTGACACAATGAAACCAAAGACCAAAAATTTGCAAAGGTAAATTTGGCAAGCTGTACAGAGACGAGGTGCAGAGACTGTTCCCGTTGGTCAGTCCCTGAGCCAATCAGGATGCAGAACACAATTCACTGTTAAAAAAAAAAAAAAAGCATGAAAAAAACTGCACTAAAAAAAATCCGTGAAACAGCGAAGCCGCGGAAGGTGAACCGCGTTATAGCGAGGGTTCACTGTATATCAGGAGCATCAAATTTTGAGAAAATGGAATGCTTTTAGATGCGCCTTATAGTGCGGCAAATACGGTACCTTGTGAATGGCACAAAAACCAAAACTGCCTGCACAGTACTGCATAGCATTACAAACAATTCCATGCAATCACAACAAGGCAACTGGCAATACAGTAACTTTCATTGAAAAAAAAATTTTTTTTTTTTTTTTTGCTTATTTTCCCCAAATGTTCTGCACTGACATGCTCTGCAACATCAAAGTACAGTATGTGATAAAACAAAAAAAAAAACTCATGAAAGTCAGATGAGAAATGACCAAGTTATGATTTATTTAGAACAAACAGGCAGTGTCGCTCATGGGGTAGTGGTACACTTGCCAGACTTGTGTGCAGGCAGTGTGAGATCGCTTCCCACTCGGTGACCGTGTGAACGTGAGTGTGTATGGTTGCTCCTCTCTACATGTGCCCTGCGATTGACTGGCGACCATTTTCAGACGATAGTCCGCCTTTCACCTGGAGTCAGCTGGGAAAGGCTCCAGCAACCCCTTCGACCCTCTTCAGGATACGCGGCGTCGAGAATGGCTGGATGAATGGGTGAACATGCAGTGCCTTTGATGTGACCGTTGCACCCACCAATGCGGCGGCCATATTAAGCACGTCAATTAAGGAATTGCGACAGCGCACTAACGTATCCAGTCTTCTATTCCGTATCCGTGGTTCTAACATTACAGTGAATAAATTACAAAATTATTTAAATGAAAGTTACCTGATTTTCCGCACTAAAAGGCACACTGGATTATGAGGCGCACCTTGAATGAATGGCCTATATTTTAATTTTTTTCATATATTGCACGCACTGGACTATAAGGCGCAATCTCCAATGCATCCACTAGATGGAGCTACAGGTACGTCTTTGTCCGTCTCCGTGCCTTCTCTTCTTCCGTTTGACTCAAGAGGCGTTCATGACCGCCTCCAAAAAATGCAAATTAACGATTACTTCAATGAAACTACGAAAATTGAAAATACAGTCATGCATCAAAACAGAAAATCGCAAAATAAATTCTATAGCCACGTAGCTGCAACAGAACGATCAGATGTCAGTAAATTTGATCTTAGTTTTACGGTTTGGTGCCTACTACCATCTTTGTTACTGATTATTGCTTTATTGTTGTATATAGTTGCTCCATGTACAGCACTTTGTATGCAGCAATGGCTGTTTGAAAGTGCTCTATAAATACAGTTGAGTTGAGTTAAATTGGAGGAGACTGGACTGTCTCAGAAGTGTTTGTTTATTCCTTTGTTGTGTACTGTATTGACAAACAAGGATATCACAAAATAAATTCTGTAGTGGGGTCATAGAATTTATTTTGTGATTTCCTCGCTTGATTACAGTGAATAAATTACAAAATTATTTAAATGAAAGTTACCTTATTTTCCGCACTAAAAGGCACACTGGATTATGAGGCGCACCTTCAATTAATGGCCTATATTTTAAGTTTTTTTGCATTTTTTTGATGCATTATTTTCTATTTTCGTAGTTTCTTTGAAGGAATAGTTCATTTACGTTTTTCCGAGGCGGTCATGAACGCCTCTCGAGTCGAACGGAAGAAGAGAAGGCACGGAGACGGACAAAGACGTACCTGGATTTGTTGAGACTGTGAAAACCATTAATAAAGTGTGCGTTTTAAAAACAACAACACTTTTTTCCGAGCTGCAACAAAAACGTATTTAATAAAGCAGCGACACAGTTCACTGAACCAACAGCAAGTTATAACATTGCAAGCATGTCTCCAGCAAGGAGCCATATTGGGGTCGACGTATTACCGTAATGACCATACACAAGGCGCATTGGATTTTAAGGCGCCCGGTGAGCTTTTTAAGAAAATGGAAGACTTTTTGGTGCGCCCTATAGTGCGCAAAATACGGTAATTGAATTTACAGTTTTTAATGTGATCCTCATTGTTAGCCTTAATATAAGATTAACGTAGAGCTAGCAAAAAAACTGAATCAGCCACACTGTGCATCCTTTTTATATGTTTGTGCGCCACTATCGTACTGCTTCGAACCACCTTGCAGGCTATGCATCGCATCCTTTTTGGTACATGCTCCCAAACTTTCAAGCTCCATTGCTGGCAGTTAGCCATACGACTGTTTTTCCACTTACATCACAGCTAACACGCAATATCGCTACCGTGCCTGTGAATGAACGAACAGAACGACAGAGACTCAAAACTAAATGATGTTGATTATGAAATGAATTGTTGACTTTATCGTGACTAGTCAACTGAATTTGACAGCAAACCTTCGCATGTCCTGTTACACTATAAGACTGTGCGGCAATGTGCAAGACTGCATTCAAAGTCGAGAAATAGAACCGATCATGAAAACGAATGCATACCTGAGGCATCTCCAACTTCAAAGTCACTGTCGTCTGAGCTGTTATAATCCAAGGCATCGAGAAGAGAAGCAGCCAGCGGTTTCACCTGACGGCGCTTTAAACCACGGTCCACTAACATGAAACAGTTGCAGAAAATATAGTTAGGTTTTCACTTTTTACAATCATGGCTTTACAATAAAAGCAGTGGTAGGAAATTAACTGTCCCAGAAAATATTCTGTGGTCTCTTTGAATCAATAACCAATTAGCATCAAGCAAATCTACTTTGTTTTTTAATTGTAATCAGTTGCAAAAGAAAGCACAAATTCAATGTGTTGTTGGTTAACATGGAAGAGTGATAACCAATAAGGTTTAAAATTGCAACTGTAAGGACCTAACAACCTATTGTTTAACATTTGACCACTTTCAAAATTCGTGGACTTCATTTTCATATATTGCCATAAATAAAACGCAGTTATTGCAATTTTAAACGGTGCCACATTTATCTATGTATTTTTTTAGGAAAATGCACTGTGGGATGAGCAGCAGAGCTTATTAGGAATTTATTTTGCTCTTCCCATGACCCTTGTTTTGTGCTTCTGGTACCCCTTGTGAGCATGGGCCCCGTTACAGTGATCAGTAGGTGGTTGCCCATAGACCTGCCATGTCAAATGTGACTGAATGTGATAGGTCTTGTATGATTCTGCAACGTAAAGCTGCTTTTCCTCCAAACCAAGTTGCATCATTGGTTGGTGTGATGAAAACAATATGTTTTCATGTAAAGTGTGTGAAAAAGAAGGAAACTCAAATGCTTTCACAGAGAGGGAAGTCAAGGGTTGTTTATTTCAAAACAACAAAATAATGCCAACAAGTATGTCTGGTTTTGAACCATGTTTGTGTCGTCTGCACACATTTTACCCGTATAAAATCAGATATGGTGCTGAAGAGAGAGTTGGAGAATCACTTCAAATTTTACTGAACATTTTTGAACACTGCAATTGTGCGCTTTCAAGGATTCTGGAATCCACGTAATCCCACAATGCACATTGTTTGATGTCCTCTGTCATGTCACGATGACTGCCAAAGACAGATGGTGAAGTTCATGTTTTTATTCCGTGGCACACTTTTCATCAAGTACATCTCTGGAGGATCAGTAATAATGTCACAGTCCTCAATCCTGAGCGATGACTAGGTTAGGGCTGTCACTATTCAATATTTTGAGAATAGATTCAAAGATTGACGAAAAAATTGACTCTGCATTAAAATGGTAGGGTAATACAATAAACAGTATGAGACCAAACGCCACGAAATAGTGTTACAAATGACAACAAAGAAGTAGATTGTTTCTTTGTTGGAAACGCAAATGTACTTACGTTGAGTGTTAGTTATTCTTGCATTTTCAGCAACATTACTTTAAAACCATGAGATGCATATTTTAGTTATAGCCTGGCAAATTAACTGCCATCAATCTATGTTGACGTGCATCCTACATGCGCACACTCGATTATAGCCTGAGGAGAGCTCAGCTAACGTTACACGTTTTAGCTTTCGTTTGAGCACCGCGCTGGTTAACATTCGCATGACCGTGCACGGTGAACCAACGAAGACAATTCACGACAACCTGCACAATTATTACTACGGCAATAATTCGTGCACTATTCTTGTCTATCACATTGGTGAACCAATCAGGTTGCGCAAGCTAACCACAACATAGCCAGCATTAGCAACTGTCGTTGGTAAACTACCGGCAGAGTAATGAATAAAATTGAGCACACTTCGCGTGCATTGGATATGTATGATTATCAAGAAAAAACTTTAGGTGGGACAATGCTGCTCCAGTGAACACCAACGGCAGTCGGAAAAAAAAAGCAGCGACTAATTCCTATTCCGAGAATGCATGTTTTAGCCGGCTAACAGCTAATTCGAACAAATGCAGCTGGACAGCGCTAATCCTGTCTTTGAAAAATGTGGCACGGTCGTACGTCATTTCAGATAAATGATTGTAGAGAGCAGGACTTGATCACTTACTTTGAACTGTTTGTTCGTATTTCTACATTAAACGGAGGCAGGTTTCCTTCGGCAGCAAGCGTGGACAATGGAAAACAGAAGTGACGTCGTTGTAGCGGCTGGGTACTGTTGCCATAGGGACTGACTGCCGAGATCACGACTCAGTGGAGCTCTGATTCGGTAATTTAATAAAAACCGACCAAGGTAAACCCCCCCATAAATTAAATATGAAAATGTAAAATCACAGCAATAATAATATTTTTAAAATGGCATGACATGTAATCTGAACACGTATACAGTAAATATCATTCAGCATGTCGTCTTTGAGCCACTGGTGAAAAGGACATTTTGATTCGCTCCTCTTTCATCTATAACTGGTTCAAACAACAAAGTGTATGAAGGAAAAGTGGCTAAGATTGCACGACTGTCTGTGTCTTGTGTTGTGTTGTATTATTTTGTCATTTTATGTTCTTTTGATGGCGGTGTGTTGTGAAGTTGAGATGGAAGATTTGACAATAAAGTTGTACTTGACGTGTTTCCCGTGACGTCACGTTACTCTGGGCACGCCCCTTTCAAATTACAGTACAGTCAGACCTCGGTTTTCGTCCACAATCCGTTCCAGAAGGCTGTTCGAAAACCGAAATTGTTCGAAAACCGAAACCACGCTCTTTTTAAAATAAAAATGTTTACTGAACACGTCTGCTCCCAATGGAAAGCAACACATGGAAGCGTCACTTCCTCGTGTAAGGAAGGCGAGAGTAGTCCAATAGTGCATTCAAGTGCGCTCAGTTTGTTCGAGAACCGAAAGTGGTTCGTCATCCGAGGCATAAAAAACCTCGAACTTTTTGGTCGAAAACCGAATTGGTCGAGAACCGAGACGTTCGAAAACCGAGGTTTGACTGTATTTTGGTTGGTCAGTCGTAATGTTATTTTAAAGGTCCTTAAGGATCCGCAACCTAAGCTATGCTACAATATATTGATTCCTTAAAAACTTATATCGGTGAGATTTTTTTTTTTTAAGACGCAATCGTCATTTACGTACATTGTTTCAGAAAGACCTCATTCTGTCACGGTTGATCTGTTTGGGACCAAGAGGCGGCTCTGTAGGGCTCCTCTTGCAGCGGCACACCTGTTGGTCATCATGTCAGTAGTACGTTTGTACGTTTTCTGTTAAAGGACTCCCGGCCCGGCCACTCAGTGTCAGGTCATTGTTTCTGTTGCTGACTTTGTTCCTATTGGTGTTTTGCTTCTGCCATGGGTTTTGTTTGTTACTTTGGATTCTTGTTGTACCCAGGACTTTGTTTGGTCTAGATTTAGTTTCCTCAATATTTTGTGAATACAGTTTGTCAAGTTCACCCTGCTCCTCCCTCCTGCCTGCTTTGTGGAGTCCTCCCCCACCGTTGATGACACATTCATTCCAATGTGGTTTCTTGTTGAAAAATTCTTGTTAATTTACATTGATTGGATACATTTTTGCAGTTCACCTGAAAAATATTGTTTAAAAAAAAAAGCATACAAATAATTCACAGGTTTTGCCCAAATCAGAATATTGATCCATATATTTAAGGTGCATCGGATTACAAGGCGCACTGTCGGTTTATCAGAAAATTGAACGCTTTTAGATGCACTTTATAGTGCGGAAAATACTGTAGTTCCTAGGATCATTGGGACACATATCCTTCCAACATGACAAGGTGAGGGCTCAGTGAGGGGTTGGCTATTATAAGCTGTACAAAATATGCTTGACATTTCCAACAAAGCAGATGTACTGCAGAAAGCAACCATGTGGCAAAGAGTAAGACAGAATGTGTATTTCATGTATGATTTAGGCGTTTGCAGAAGCAGCAAGAAATTTACTGCAATATCTGCGCGAGGGGTTAAACCTATGAGAAGCTGCCCCTCCAGAGCTATCAGTCAGCTCGATGAGAGATAGGACAGAAGCAATTTCAGCGAGAGCAAGAATAACACCAGGTTTGAAAATAAAAACGTTACATTAAGGCTGAACCATGTCAAGTATGGTTTAAAAGCTCATTTGAACAGGAGTAATTGGATTCCATTTTATTTATGAATCGGTTAACATATAGCCTCCTAGCTCCTCGGGGTTTTGCATTTAAATTGGAATATTTATCAGTTAAAAATGGGTTATTTATGTGGCCATTTGTTGTCTTTCGTCTTTTCTACTTTATGTTTCTGTCCAGAACTGGGCAATATGAATTGGGCTATGTTTACACAATGTTCCCGGTGGCCACGGCAAACCTGTTTCAGGACAAAGTCGAAAAAACAGGATGGTCGTGAGAAAACGTGGGGTGATGAACAAAAGTCACTTGCCGGCAAGATCTATAAACTATCAAAAATTTGTCATGGTTACAGTCACGCTCTATATAACTAAACTCAACTGTATTTATAGTTATATAAGAATATAACTAGAATAAAGAATAAAATAGAAATATAACCAAATATAAGAAACCGAGTTGGCCATAATAAATCAGGGTGAGCACAAAAAAACCGCAGAGTGCGTAATTGGACGCGTCTAAGTCCAGACTGAAACTAATACAGTAATCCCTCGTTTATCGTGGTTAATGGGGACCAAAACCACCCGCGATAAACGAAAATCCGCAAAGTAGCGTCCAATTAACATAAACAGGTTAAAATTTTATTTTTTTTAAGTCCGCAAACGGTCCGCGAGAAGCTGCAAAACAACAGCGAGTCACATAGAGCAACATATACAGTACTGTACTCCATGTATATTTAAAAAAAAAAATTTAAAAAATAAAATTATTATTATTATTATTTTTTTATTTTTTTAATGTTTGAAAAAATCCGCGATGCACTGAACCCGCGATAAACAAACCGCGAAGTAGCGAGGGATCACTGTATTGTAAAAAACCTATTGAGTGACACTAACTTGAGTCGGGCCGCACAGGAGAGCTTTATTTGACTTTGCCCGGGCCACAAAAGTACTCCAAAGCTGCCCGACGTCCATGTGCCCGACGTCCATGTTTCATCTGTAGAAAGCCGTGACAGAGTGTGAGACACGTGAGTTGCCCCACCACGGTGTGTGGCATCCGTGGTAAACTGTGGGCCGAACCGTAGTATACCTTGGAGGTTTCGTGACTCAGAAGACCTTGGTGAACCTGGGTTCATCCATCAGCAATGACTGTTAGCCGCCGCTTATCAGCTCCGGACAGAGGATCCTCAACTTAAATCACCATCATCGCCTGGGAGAAAAATAAAGAGCAAAACTGCAGTTAATAGTAATAATAAAGTATTGGGTGATGGAGGCAGACACAAAATTTGCAAACACATCATTGAGACATAGCCAGTGAGTTCTATTGTTGTCTATGTTTTTTTGTTGTGAAAGCCCATTTTACCCATGTTGTCATTGTTTATCCCCGACACTGTAAAGTATGCGCCTTTACAGTTAGTGTTCAAATAGTGCTATTAAAGTACAATGTATTATCACTATTTTATAAAGTGGAGCAGTTGTGGCAGTTCTATACAGAAGTGATTGAATCAGTTCTGTCTGGCTAGAACAGTCTGGTTTGGTGCTGCCACAAAGAAGGACAAAATCTGATTGCAACCAACAGTTAGTCCTGCTGAAAGGATCATTGGCACCCTCTCTACCCACTCTTGAGGTCGTACATGCTGGATTAGAACTAAAACAAGGGCAGGTAAAAATGTCATGGCCTCAGCTCACCCTGGTACTCGTCAATGTCCTTCTGACAAACTGAGATATTTTGTAGCTTCAAACTCACTTGGTTTGGTACATTTCTTGAATCACTCTAAACATTTTGAAAACAGTAACATTTTATGAGAGGCTAAAAAAAATTGGTCAAGTCGAGCACAAAACTTATTTGCAATGCCCAGAAACATGTTTTTGTGTTTATCGCACGGACATTTGTTGCAGACTGATTTGGTCAAAACATCCATTTGGCAGACGCTAAGGAGCGTGCGGAACACAATTCGGCAGATTTCACACTTTCATGCACCCTGTAACCTGATAACATGATAAGCTGTCCACTGTAGTAACCGCTGTCCCTGAAAGGGTTAATGACAAAAATAAATCATGCGCCATTTTATTCTGTGGTATTTTTGACTGAAAGAAACAGACTTTGAAACACAGCGAGGAGTTTTAAATGCAAATCAGTGCTTTTGATAATGTTTAAACCAGTGGTTCTTAACCTTCTTAGAGGTACCGAACCCAACCAATCTATATGCACATTCACCGAACCCTTAGTGACAAATAAATATATATATTTTTTACAAATTCAAGATATAAGAAAAAAAACGCATTTATTAAAAACAGAAAAAAGTCAATAAAATTCCAAGAGATAAGTATACTTTAAATTATTTTTAATTGTACGACGTACTATCACGACAGCACGTGGTGACTACTCAGCGAACTAAACTTGCCACAGCACTGATTGGACAAGCAATGTCATGTGATCATTTGCAGCCAGTGATGGCCAAGCGGGCGTGTCATAACTAATTAACATGTTGAGTCGGGTGTGTCTTAACCTCCATGGCAGAGCCTCCGTCAAAATTCGATTGAACCTAGGTTAAGAACCACTGCTTTAGACCCTGATGGCACAGCACTTCAGAATGAGTCCATGAGCCACCAGCTAAGATTGACTTATAACGACAGTTTATTTGTTCATCTGCCTAAACCACAAACAACACAACCAAAATCTGTTATCTAAACTAAAATGTCATTTTCAAAAAGAAATTCAATTCAAATAAACAACAAACTCAAAACATTAAAAAAAATAATGATTAAATATTTGCTACTGCAAGAAACACCAACACCAAACATGTCACTTGACATATGAATATTAATGAGGAAAAAAATACAAATATTATATTTATCTACATATATATATATATATATATATATATATGTCATGAATTCTTGTGCGTTGTAACAACCTTTTGATGACAAGCAGTGTTGCCTAATTTAAAGTGATTTAATGATGTCCTTGGAGTCCCTTTATTGATTCAATGAAGCTGGCTCAGAATATTCACTTGTGTTCCAGTCTCTCACAAGTGACACATCATTAAGTATTATGATTGCATTTTTATGCAATCATAATACTCATTCACTCTTCTAACAGCCTTTTCCGAACCAAGTA